CCGGGGCCGGCGCGCGTCCATGGCTGGCCGGGGGGCCTGGCTGCCGAACACCGTGCCGGCTCCCTCCAGCTGCTGGTACCGCGCCTCCACCAGCCGCTCGTTGCCCCACACTGCGAGGAGCGCGTTCGTCTCGGCCGGCGTCCACGACATGCCCCGGCAGGCGGCGGCGGCGGCTGCCGCAGCCCCGCCACCGCCGCCACCAGGGGAGAAGGAGACCGAGGACGAGGCGGCGCTGCGGCCCCCCAGCCCCAGCCCGAGACCCCCGGACGCCGCTGCCCCCGAGCCCGCCGCACTGCCCGGCCCGAGTGGGGAGGCACCCCTAGGCGTGGAAGGGTCGGACAGCGATGGATTTCCGTCGCTCAGGCCACCAGGAGAAGCCGGGGAGAGCACCTCCATCTTCGGGATTTTTAGCGGCGAGTTGGCGGGCAGCTCCGAGCCACAGGGCGCAGCCATCTTCCAAGCGGCCGCCGCTACACCGCCCGGAAGTGACGTGCCCGCGCATCCGGCCGCCGCGGTCTCCGGGGCTGCCCTCGGGCCTGGCTCGCCGGCTGTCGGGAGGCTGCAAGCCCCGGCTGCCGCGGATGCAGCTGCCGGGCGGAGGCCGTCGGTTCCTCCCGGCCTTTCTCCGCGAGCCCTCCCGCGCCGCCCGCTCCTCTCCCGGGGCGAGGGGCGGGGACGAGGCGCACCGAAGCCCCGAGCTGAGGAGAAGGGTGGGGGCATGAGGGCGCTGGAGTGAGGAACAGATTGGAGCCTTCCCACTTCCTCTCCAATCTCAGCCCACGGGAGGAGGGGTGAGGCCCGCGAGGGGGCCCGGAGTTAAGGAGGAATTGACCATTTCACTGTCTCTTCCCTGTTTCCCTCCCGGTTCCTCTCTTCCCTCTCAGCTGGCCTCGAGGTGCAGAGGCTGGCGTCCAGGGTGGAGACTAGGGAAGGCTACGGAGGGTGTACCCGGGAAGGCGCCGAGGCTGAAGGGACAGCAGTTCTGGGGGAGGCTTTAAAAAGCAGTTATGGACCAAGGTAGAGTTTGTACGCTGTCGCTTTTCAAGAAACCCAAGCCCACTACGTGGAGAACAGCAACTATCCGATTCGTGTTGTTTTCCAGTTAGTGTGCGTCGGTGTGGCCTTTCGTAGAAGAATTAGATGTCTTTACGGCGTTTGTACAGTTTGGCTATGGCTCGAACATGTAAGAACTCATGAGCCCAGCAGAAAAGTTAGTTTCCAATACCGTTCTCCATCCTCCCTGATTTGGAAGTTGCCTAGTTTTCCCAGTTTTTCATGTTCTGGAGTGTAAGAAGGTTAAAAAGAAAACTGTCAATTATGACAGCTCTTATGACCGCTGTTAATAGTGTATTAGTCAGTCCCGAACTTGCTATAAACTTCTGGAACTTAATGAACAGTAGCACACCAAATCCAGTACATAGCTGTAAGTTGTTTCCATATGCTTCAAAGCTGAAAATCTTTTATCGTAGATCATTAACTTAAAAACCCCACGCAGTTTCTTTTTTTCAAATCACACTTGTAACTGAGGAGGCTGACCAATGAATGTGAATAAACTATGCAATATTTTTAGAAATAGCAAACATATGTTGTTTTAAAAAAAAGTTGAGGTCAGCCACATTTTTAACTCTGAGAATCACCCTAGAGAATGGCTCTGGTTCTTTGGAAAGCCAAAGGATTAAGCAATACGTACGAAATAGGGGGGGAGATAATTGTCTTCCTAAGTCATATAAATGCCACCATAGTTTATAAGTTAACAGTATGAAGAAGCTTAAGGAAGTTCCAGAATTTATGCTATCTTCTTCCTTTTTTTCTAAGAGAAAGGTGGTTAAGAATATACATTCTAGGGCCGACCCTGTGGCTCACTCGGGGGAGTGCGGCGCTGGGAGTGCAGCGGCGCTCCCGCTACGGGTTCGGATCCTATATAGGGATGGCCCGTGCGCTCACTGGCTGAGCGTGGTGCTGACGACACCAAGCCAAGGGTTGCAATCCCCTTACCGGTCACGGAAAAAAAAAAAAAAAGAATATACATTCTAGAATCAGAATGCCTGGCCTCAAATTCCAGTTCTGCGACCTCAGCCAAGTTACTTAACCTACCTCCCAGTGCCTGGGTTTCTTCATCTGTAAAATGAGGATGACCACACAGCACTGTTGAGAGAATTAAATGTGTTAATACAGTTAAAGTCCGTAGAATGGTGCCTGGTTTTGTTGTTGTTTTGTTTTTTAAGATTACAGTATAATCCCTCCCCTCCCTGCCTTTGCAGTCTCTAGGTCACTTTTTCCACTTGTAGATCTTCTGTGCTAGCCCCAGGAAGATGGCCTGGGGCAAGTGAGCCCCATAAGTGGTTGTAATTGTCTTCCTCATACGCAAGAACACAGTCTACAGAGTCCAGTTCCTCGTATAGTGCCGTCACCTGGGCCACTTCTCAGCCTCCTTCCTGTAATCCTGTGGATCTGGCACTGTTCCACAGTGAGCTGTTGCAGACCATGAACTACCAGCATGTTGTCCTGGATGTCAGTGCCAATCTTGCCAGTCACAGTGGGATCCCCAAAGAGGTCAGGGTAATTATCCTGAATCTGAAAGAACACTCCCATCACCAGCAGGATCTTCTTGGCATTGGCATGTTCTTTCTCCCCATCAGCCTGCCATGTACATGGCAGCAGCTACAGGAAGGTAGAAGGAGTAGAAAGCTGTCTTGTACTTTACAATAGATTTGTACCTCTTTTCAGTGAATCTGCCGACATCCACATTGCCCTGGAGGACTGTGATAAAGTTCACAGTCTGCCCAATCTCAGTCTGATAGGAACTCTGCAGGACCAGAGCTCGATCAGATTCAGGTAATAGGGCTGCTCCCAGCAGTAGAACTTCAGCAGGAGGTAGATACATGTTTCCAAAAGCACAGCATCATTGATGGCATCCAAACCTATGCCTGACTTCTGATACCAGCAGATCTTCCCTCAGCAGGTGAGGGATGAATACATGATGTTGTGGGACACCAGGAAGAAAACTTGCAGCAGTTCCACACACCAACCCACAGTCAGGGCCCGCTGGAGACTATCAGAATCCTGTTTCCTTAGCCCCACCAGCTCATGGGATGCTGCCAACACTGTCAAACCCCGCTGGTACTTGCTCCAGTGGCATTGTACGCCAGGACCTCCTTGAGCCAGGCAATGGCAACTCCTGTCTCCAGGTGCTGCATCTCATCTTCAGTCAGCACGTTGACAATCTGGGAGAAGTGCTGGAGAAAATTCTGCTTTTCTTGGACATAAACGTCTGATTTCTGGTATCCATTCATTCTGAGGGAGGAACAAAGTGTTCCTGGATTCGGGTTCCTTCTTGGATGGTGCCTGGTTAGTTACTGAACCCAAGTTCTGCTGCCTGCCCCAAACAAAACCCTCGCTTGGCTCACCAAAATCTGTTACCCCAGGGCATTCAGCCCCTGGCTTGGCTTTCCAAAATCTTGTTGCTGAATTCTAGTCTGGCTGCCTTCCACCCAAACAAAAGACTCAAAAGTCAAATGTTGGTGATAAGGGAAGCCAGCTTTATTCAGGACCAGTAACCTGAAGGAGATGGTAGATTAACCATCTCTCCGGTAAACCTGAAGGAGAATGTCCAGACTATAACTATCTCAAAGACTCATATTTACTGAGAGGTTTTTAAAGAAGGGATAAAGGGAATGGAATGTGGAAAGTGAAAAGCAGCAGGGAAGGAGGATGTGTAAGGGGCCAGGTGCATATTCTTGCCAAGACTCCCTTTGGCTTCTGTTCTTGTCCTTGACATTATCTTAGGGTCTTGCAGGATTTTGCTCTGCTTTGGGGTGAAATCAGCCTAGCTTTATTGATGTCTTGCTTGATTTCTCAAGGTCTTGACAGTACATGTCTCATGGCAAGTTTGCAGCTCCAGGCTTATGTAAGCTCCTGAAGTAACAGTCTCCTGGTAATTCATCTCTTCAAATGTCAACTCTCCAAAGAGACCTTAACTGCCACTCTATCCATTACCATTTTATTTTGTTGAAAGCACTTATTTTCAGAAATCATTTATTTATATGTACTAATTTTTCTTTTGTGTATGTATTGTCTGTCTTCCCCCTCTAGCATGTAAGCTGTTTGAAGCCAAGGACTTTATTTTGTTCACTTCTAATAGACCCAGCACTCAGAATGGTGCCAGGCAGGCTTTCCCCATCAATCAAGGTGAAATAACAGGGACCAGATATTTATACCGTCCTATCGTCAATAATTAGAAATCCAGACAAAATAGATAAAACACCGATTTTCAAGACATAGGACATCAGAGAAGGAAGGACACTGAGAGATGGGAAACAAGGTTAGCCCTACAATTGCCTGAGCTTACTGGCTGGAAAGAGTTTCCAGAACATGGCATTTAAGGAGGATCCCCAAAGGCATTCTGGGGTCTCCCTAAATTGAAGAGACAAAGCTGAGAGTCCAAAATGGCCAAGGCTGCTAGAGTTTGTAGGGCTAAGCACCAGAAGGAAAAGAGATGCACACAGAACCCCAGAGATCTGAAAAGGATCTCCCTCAGCTCTTCAAATGAGTACTTCTCAGCACCTGTGTGTGACAAAACATTCCCAAGGCCAGGAGAAGAATAACCTGAAAGGATTAGAGGAAAGAATACTTGGAGCTCATACAGACTGGGGATAATTCCTCTTCCTACCAGCCAAATTGGAAAGCTTCACAGAGCATGGGGCATTAGATAGAGTACTCAGAAGGGTTATGTCCCAGAAATAGACTCACACAAATGTGCTCAATTGTTTTCAAGGTGCAAAGACAATTCAGTGCAGAAAGGATAATCTTTTCAACAAATGGTGCCAGAACAATTGGATATCTGAACTTGGATCTATCCCTTGCATCATATATAAAACATGACTCAAAATAGGCCTAAATTTAAAACCTAAAACTATAAAACTTCTCAAAGAAAAAATAGTATAAAATCTTTGTGGTCTTGGGTTAGGCAAAGATATTTTAGATCTGACATCAAAAGCACAATTCCTAGAAGAAAAAAAATGATAAATTGGACTTCATTAAAATCAATAAATTTTCTAATTTTTGAAAAATACTGTTAAGAGAATGAAAAGACAAGGCACAAACTTGGAAAAAAATTTGTAAATTTCATATATAATAAAGTACTTGTACCCAAAATATGCACAGAACTCTCAAAACTCAATAATAAGGAAGCAACCCAATTTTTAAAATGAGCAAAAAATTTTAACATACATTTTACCAAAGAAGTTATACAGATGGCAAATGAGAACATGAAAAAATACTGCATATTATTGGTCCTTGGGAAAATGCAAATTAAAACCAAAATAAGAATACCACTACATACATATTAGAATGTCTAATATTTAAAAGATGAACCACCACACTAACTGGTGAGGATTTGAAGCAACTGGACCTCTCACACATTGCTCATGGTATAAAATGGTTCAGCCACTTTG